GTGTTCTTTTTAAATTTTTACTCTTAAAACTGTCGTTTTTCATCCCCAAACTACAGATTCTAGTGCTAGAATCCTTCAAGTTCGTATCTGAAAATATAAAATTCGATGGATTCTACCAACTATTCAAATTCAATGTTCAACTGCAAATAATTTCAAGATCGTGAGATATTAATGTCAAATACGAGGGAAAAATTTGTCATTTCTAATATTTATGTTTTTTAATCTGAAATCGAAATTTTATGTTACGAAAATATTGAAATTTTGTTCGATGAAATCAAGCGAGAAAAATATTTTCAGCAGAAACTTCAAAAACAAATGTCAATTGTTAATTTGAATTTGCAATTCATAATAGTACAAATTTTTTGTGAGATTAGATTGATTTGTGTACGCCGTACATAATTATTCATTATATCGATAAAAAAAACTTCATTTATAAATATTTTCTTAGCAATTTCTATTTTACTTGGTTTAGAATATATTGAAGTCAATAGCACATTTTTGCCAACTATATAATATGAAAAAAACAAGATTTTGACAATTTGATCTCAAGAAATTTTTTCTATTCTATACTTACAGTGTATTTTGGATTATAAACAAGTTTTCATGAGTTTTTGTGACTAAATGAATATCTTTGTTACGCAGATCAACTAGAGAAGTACTTACTTGATTGAATTTTAATGTTATCAACCAAATATTCAGCTCCTCTGTCCCCAATTTTATTTAGATTCAACCATAAAACAGTTAGTGTCTATACGACAGATTAAAAAGAATAATGAAAGTAGTAAACAAACACTATCTAATATCTAATCACTATATGATAGCGAACCATTTTGTTACTATGAATGTTATAACATTGATCCTTTCATATTGGAAATTGAAAAGCTTTAGATGTATGGTAGTAAGAATATAAATTCTAGTATATACGTCTTTATAAGCTTGTTTAATCTAATTAATAATGATCTCTCTGAATATAAATGATCTTGAAAGGGATATTTTTCCGAAATTTATTTTAACCATATTCTTGATACTGAGTTATAAAAATCTTAATTTATTATTCATGAATAACTGACAAATATTTGCTATTTATCCATATAGTGTACATAATTAAATGCAAAGTTGTAGTTCTTGGCAAATGTATTCTAAAATCAAATAAGAAATTTGATATAATATTTTTACATTCGAATAAGATTGCATAATAATCCTTAATTAATTCATGATTTTTTCTGTTTTTACGGTGTGGGTA